TCAAGAGACTCGTAATGCGAGTTAAAACATTCATAGAAGACGTCAGGGACGATATAATGGGGTTCTACAACGTATGTAGCAAAACTGTTCTTATTCGATCAAAGTATTTATACGGATTGAGTTTTAAAATATAATGTTTTACTTTAAAACCGACTTAACATTACTGTTGTCAGTTATTTTGTCATCTGTCCCATACGTTCTAAATAAATGATCTTAATCAAATGTTAGAACTACAATTTGTTCAAATATACACCCATAAAACACAGGAAAAATTAAGAGCTCTCTGTTGAATTGATTTGAAATATTTTATTTCTTAACTATGTACCAGATTAATTTATCGAAATCGATTCTAATTAAAGTTATGTCTGTGTAACAATCTGTATTGTATCTCACTTTCCAACATACGCTCTACCAGACGGTCGTAGATGCAGTGACGGTAACCTTGCCATATGTAGGGAAACAGCTAATGGATGCTATTGCCACGCTCATTTCCGCGGTCAAATCTATACTCTCCAACCCCTCACAGGCTATGAGTGGAATAGGTCAGGCACTTATGAAGTAAGTAGCTAAAAGCAGAAGACGATATTTTAATGAAAACATCACAATACAACTGCTAGACTTTTTTTTTGCAAGACCTGTGACGTGTAAATACCCAATTTACGTTTTACGCTTCTTTTGATTCTCAAATTCATTAGGATAATTGCTTGATGTTCGAGGTTTAAAAAATAAGTTTCGGAATTGCTGGTGATATTTTACAAAGCATTTTTATTTTTATCCAATGTAAATCTCTAACGTGCATTTTAAATGCTAAATCCATCTAGAATAAAGAAGTAGTTTTAATATGCATTCAATAAGAATAACACATGTTTCTGTCTACTCATGCATGCTTTTCAATTTATTTAATAGAATAAAAATGGCAATATCCATGTTCTTAGATGTCAAAAACCAAGTGTTGGACGCCTGCTTTTTCTTGAAAGGTAATCCTTTTCGTAATGTTAAATATAAGAAAATTCCCATTGACTTTGATTAATGCAAGTCAAATTATACATTATAATTTTACACTGTAATGTGTATTATTGTTTTCAGGGAAGACACCGTATTGGATGACAATAGGTGATGAAGTGATTGGAATAGTGGCTGATATGAAGGAGCTGATAGATCGACTGTCTAGCCCTGGATCTGACGAACTAGCAGGTTCCGATGTGGATCACCTTTCCATGGCGATGTCTGATGGTATACAACACATGGTAAGCACTAGTTTTTAGCCTTTTGATCGCATGTTTTCATCTTTAAGCGTTTGAGTTATCTGAGTATCATCTTGCTTATCAACAATCATTATGGAAAAAAAGAACTGTAAATTAAGCACATGTTCGCGATATTGTTTATTATTAACAGTATACTGTATATGGCCAGTTACAGGTTTTATCCTTTTGATTATATATTGATATCATAAATAGTTTGGGTTTTTTGGCTTTTTTACGCAGCACTCATTATGGAAATACTTTAACGTCAAATAAGACCTCGTTTTGTATTATTAATAGGAAGAGCAGGCAGCTCAAATTAAAGCTAATCTAATTGAAGACTTAAAAGATGCTATTGGACCTCTCGGCACTATATTTGAAGTTGCTAAGCCAGTGATAGACACGTTCCGTTCAGTCATGGATGTTGTCCAAGGGATCAAATCGACGTATGAATTTCTACGAGACATGTATGTACCACTGTATTTTCACTGGGTATTTTTTTTATCTCTTGATAGTAATATCTTTCACACTACATTACATGTGTTACATATACAGTACCAGTTTGACATAGGCTGATTCAGATAGTGTCATTATAAGAAAAATTAAGGGAAGGCCAGAGTCTCATTCCTTATTCTCTGCTGTGGTGATAAACACTTTCTGTTGATACATAGTTTTTGTTGTAAAATATAAAAATTCAAACCGAAAACAAAAGGTGTAAATAAGACATAACGCTAAGAACCATTATATGTGAATGTTTTCTAATCAAAATTGTTTGTGTGCTTCTTTAATCTTGGATCAATCACGTTATCAAACCAAACTAAATTTTGACTAAAAATGGTTTCCAAGATAGGTTTCTTTAAAAGTGTATGTGAAGGACACCGTTAACCAATTGAAACCCTACAGGAAGAAACAAATACGTGTTTAAAGTAGGGATACATATGCATTATCTAATGTTTGTAATGTTATGGAACCAAGTTGCATACAATTTATTTCTGTACATCTTTAAAGAACATGCCTGAATGCAATTAGGTTACAGTTAGATTTTAAACCATGAGAAATATCAGAAATATGAATCGCGATCCTGAATGAATTCCTTCTATTAAACAATGAATGCTTTGCAGTAGTTCAACACCAAACGCTATTGCTGACAACGTTTCCTATAAAACTCTGTATGCTTGCTTTAGTTAAATTGTAAAACTTAGCAAAGCGTAAACTATTAAGCTAGACAGCAATTGCACTGCGTGTTATAGGAACTTTACACCATTTGTCATAATATTCATTGCTAATATTGATATTTAAGTCCAGCTGTATGCTTTATGTTTTACTGCTTTCTTCACTCTCTGAACGTCAGTTCTGTAAGTTCTGAACAGCAAAGTTCAGTCTTATCATAATCATATCAATAACGTTACCTGACCAATGCAAGAATAATATTTAGAGCAAAATGTTAATCAATTGTCTTGTTGCTGGCCTACGATTCACATGCAATACAGAAAACGTTTTCCATTATTGAGAACCTGCTTCCAATTTATTTTATTTTACATGAAAGTGTAACGACTTTGGTTGTAAATTTTGTCACAAAATGTTGACGATAGTTTTTATATTCTATATTGTTCTTACACGTTCTAATTTGCAGGTTCATAAAAGTGAAGTCAATGATACAAAAGATATTCGGTCCTAAGTTTAATATCAAGTTTCCAACACGGCGTCGTGAAGAGAATGCGCAATGTGGTCAAGGAGTTTGGCCTACGACGACTGCAGGGATGTACAAAACTACGGGAGTTGACGTCCATCTCAACAAAGGATCAAGTGTTAGCATATTCTTCATTTTTCATTTCTTAATCAATACTTGAATTGTTATTTCATCATCGTAAAAGAAAGAAAAATCTTTTGGTTCGAAATGATATCATGTCATTATAACTGAAATCTTATAATTGTCATTTACATCAAAGGTTCGGTGTCCTGTGAATGGAATGGTGTACAGAAAAGCATCCTCACAACTCCTCGTTAAACCTTCTGAAGCCGACTTTCTTCAATTTGAAATAGTTATCGACAACGTAGAAGCTGACAGATTTGTCTCCAATTCGGGAACATTTTTTGAAGCTGGTGAAAAGATAGGGAAAGCAAGAAGATCCAAATGCTCACCCAATTTTATTCATGTAGCTATGAGACAGAGAACTGCATCCATGAACCTACCTGACGAAGATTATAATTATGTGGACCCCTCACCATATCTTGATAGACTAGTGCCAATCCCGCAGTGGATAGAGGAATGCAATGAAATGACCTTGATTATAATGAACAATGTAATTGAAGTCGGAGCTTTGGATGATGAGGGTGCGCAGGAAGAAGTTGAAGAAGTTGACAGCACTATTAAAGATAATGACATCAACCAGATGGACGCAACCAATGAACCGGAATACAAACCTAACAATTTTGACTCCGGCTCGTCACAAAACGTTGGTAGCAATTTTCTGAGCGGAATG